CCAACTACTCAGGAGGCTGAGGCAGGAGAATTACTTGAACCTGGGAAGCGGAGGTTGCAGTGAGCAAGATCGTACCACTGCACTCCAACTTGGGCGACAGAGCAAGACTCCGTCTTGGGGGGAGGGGGAAGAAAACACTGTATTTTAGGAAAACAAGAACAAGCACAGTCCATCTGGTATATAGGACATTGAAAGTGGTAAGTGAGAGGATGGGAGAGAATAACATTGGTAAAAACAGGTTAAGGTTACATTGCTTTGTCAGAAGTTTAAACTAGTAGCTGGGAGGAGAGTAATTTATCAAAAACATTAAAATGCTAAGATTTATGAATGACAAGTTTTTTGAAATTAGAATAGCTTTAATGTTATTCTTTTAATGTTTTTCTCACTGATTAGTATCCTGACATTTTTTGACAAAGAGATTATAGAAACCCAAATATAGAACTAAATATAATCCTGAGCATACAAATGGACATTATGCCATACATGTGAATGCCATGTAATTCATCATGCTGTTACAGAAGGAAAAAAGACTTAGACATTTAGGGCCAGGCGCGGTGGCTCATGCCTGTAATTCTAGCACTTTGGGAAGCCGAGGTGGGCAGATTGCTTCAGGTCAGGAGTTCAAGACCAGTCAGTCCAACATGGTAAAATCCCGTCTCTACTAAAAATACAAAAATTAGCCAGGCATGGTGGCGGGTGCCTGTAATCCCAGCTACTTGCGGAGCTGAGGTAAGAGAAACACTTGAACTCAGGAGGCAGAGGTTGTAGTAAGCCAGGATCGCACCAGTGCACTTCAGCCTGGGCAAGAGAGCGAGACTCCTTCTTGGAAAAAAAAAAAAGACTTAGAAATTTAGCTATGGGAATCAGGGAGCAGATGGAAGTTGCTGAACAAAGGAAAGAAACAATCCAATGTGGGTTTTAGAAAGCCTAAGTCATGACAGGAAGGGAGGGTGGGCTGAAGTATGACAGCTACAATAGAGACAGTAGTCTGGAAGCTGTTGACTAAGCAGTTTGAAAGGCAATGTTTATGGCAGAAGACAGGAAGAAAATAGGTTCAGTATGTTTAAGGAGAGACTGAAAATAATATATAGAGATTTAACTGAATATATCCAAGAGTTCCTCTTAGGTAGACAACTGAAAAGATCTACAAGCAGAAGATGAGATTTGGAAGTAGTGGTGGTTGAAATCATAGAAATGGGTAACTTTCTTCAGGGGCAGGTAATACACATATGAAGGAAATTAAACAAAAGAGAGAAGACAGGAAAAACCCCACATTTAACAGACAGTAAGAATAGCTAGGAGAGAAACAGAAAAACAAGATAAAGGTGATGTTGCAGAAGTGAAGTGCATAGGTTCAAGAAAAAGACAGCTTAGCACACAGAATAAAGAGTCAAGTTGTTCAGATATATTCATAAATTCTTCTGGTGACAAAGTTCAAGATACTGCAATGAGAGAGATAGCAACCAAATGTTTACCTATACAATAAGTGCCATGAACTATTTGTGGTGGTTAAGGATAAGAACTCTGAATTCAGAGGGACCTAAGTTGCAATCCCAGCTCTGCTACCTTGGGAAAGTTCAACTTTCTAAGTTTCAGTTTTCAACCTATAATATATATAATATGTATGCTTACTTGCCCTACTTAGAACAGTGCCTGTCACATAGGAAGTAATGGACTGTTAGCAGTTATTATTAAAAGCATTTTTACTAGGAATGGAAAAGCAAATCACTGTAAACTATTGCCTGAAAGCAACTTTGCTGCCAGAGCCAAAAAGGCGAACAAATATTACGTACTGATAAGGATACAAAATATGGTTATACCTTTCTATAAAAACTATAGTTTATCTTAAGTGGAATCACTATGTGGAATTATATAGTAATATAGAAATAGGAATTAAATACAACAAAATAAAACTTAATTCGGTCTTCCATCTGAGAAAGAAAAAAAACTAAGAAATATACAAAGGCCTGCTCAGAGAAACAGGAGAACTGACCAGCAGATGGAGCCCTGTAGAAAGTGTTGGCAGGCAAAACTCCAGTGAAGAAGTATGACTCGTTAAGATGCCTAGGTTTTTTTCCTTAAAGACATTTAATTCTCTCTGCTTTAATCACCAAATAATTTTATTAGTAGTAAGGTTTCCAACATACCTCAACACTGATATTGACATTTTGACCGATGAAACATATCCTAGAATATACAATACTAGAATTCCCTAGTATTTTATAAACTGAAAAAGTGGTAATTCTGGTTTTCAGGTTGAATAGTAAAAAATGAGTGATCTGAGTTTCAGATTTCTCAGGGGTATGTCGATCTGCAAGACTCAGAAACCAGGCCTCAGATCAGAAAGCATCCCTGTGAAGTCTAGCTTAAATCAAGCTAAAAAAGTTGAGGACACTCTCTTCTTCTGTGGTCACTACAACGACATATAGGATCAAATCAAGTTTTTGTGACTACTCCTCAACTTTTCACCTTTAGAAGAACTACTAACTATCCAGACCTGTACTTGAAAGAAAATCAAAACAGTTGATTAAAAAAAAAATTAAAATAAGAGACAGTTTAACCTTACTGCACAAGTAACTATGTCCATCTCTCTCTACATGCTTACCGGAAGCTGCTAAAACAGTATTAAAATTGATGTTAAACAATAAGTTAATCAGCAAATTCAAGTAAGGGAACTGTCAAATCCTATGTTTATAGACTTAAAGTAATAGGATTAATATCACCATTATATGATTTTAGATCACAGTGTCCACAACCTATAAACTCTCACTGTCTCCACAGGACTTGTTCAAGGAGTTTTGCCCACAAACAGTAAAAATCCAACCACAGGTTGAGTATACCTAACCTCAAAACCCAAAATCTGAAATGTTCCAAAATCCGAAACTTTTTGATTGCCAACATGTTACTCAAAGGAAATGCTCATTGGAGAATTCTGGATTTCAGATTTTCAGATACTAAACCATATACAATGCATACATTCCAAAATCTGAATAAAAATCTGAACTCCAAAGCAAGTATTTCAGATAAGAAATACTCAACTTGCTGGCCGGGCGTGGTGGCTCATACCTGTACCCCAGCACTTCGGGAGGCTGAGGCAGGCGGATCATGAGGTCAGGAGATTGAGACCATCCTGACTAACACGGTGAAAACCGGTCTCTACTAAAAATACAAAAAAATTAGCCAGGTGAGGTGACGGGCGCCTGTAGTCTCAGCCACCTGGGAGGCTGAGGCAGGAGAATGGCCTGAACCCGGGAGGCGAAGGTTGCAGTGAGCCGAGATCGCGCCAGTGCACACCAGCCTGGGCAACAGAGCGAGACTCTGTCTCAAAAAAAAAAAAAAAGAAAAGAAAAGAAAAACTCATAGTCAACCTGCTTATGTTTTTATGGCATATCTACAGACAATTAACACTCACGTTGATTCATGGATTTCCTCCTGCCACCTCCCTATGCTGCCAAGTTCATAAGCTGAGGGAGTAGAACATACAATTTTAACGCTGTACTCTACGGAGACCACATGAAAAAAGCAAAACTAAAGTCCCACAGACACATCATGTAGCCCAAAGTCAAGTACAAAGTTTTTTATTTATCCATTTAGAATATAAGTACTGCTCCCCACAAACCAACTTTCTTAGAGCTAGAATTTAACGCCCTGTAACACAACTACGAATACTAGTAAAAGCCAAAGACTGTGTGGTATCTAGTTTTTGGGCAAGCCTACTTAAGCAGCCTGACCTTGTAAATTGCATTCACACATAAAAATTAGAAATACTTAAATCAGATGATCCTGGATGACAAGATAAAACAGCTGTCATGTCCCACTCAACAGTAAGAACTCTTAAATTAGGGAAATCGAAATATTAAAACTAAGCACAAACTGCAAATCCTTGCCCTTCCATTCTAGGGATAATTAGTGTAAAACTTTAGCTACTTTGTATCAGAGAGGTAACACAATGCCTAATGAATGAGAATCCTATTATATTTTATAAGATCTCCATCACCAAAGATTCAAATCATGATCATTTAGTTCAATTTATTTATGTTGAACATCTTATTACCCAATAATGTTAAATGGAACAGATTATGAAAAATTAGCAATCTGTTTCAGAAAGGGCAAAATAGTCCTTACACAAACTGGCTTGATTCAGATTTTCAATAACAACAAAGTCAACCCCAAAGGAATTTGCTCTAATTTTTTCAATATCTATGAAATAAAATACACAAAAACGGAATTATGAAATTTCTATTCTGTGGATGGTGCATATACAAAACCTAAGCATATCCCAGGTTTACTTAAGAGAAGTTAAGTTCAGGACTGCAATTTACCTAATGTTATAGGACGTTTGAGTAGCAATCAGGGCAAGGAATATTCCTCTCGAAATTTCAAAAACTTAATATGAAAAAATTACACATAGCCCCTGTGTTACCAGCACCAAGAATCTGAATGCCCATTGGGAACTCTGCAATTCAGCAAGTCTTTGTAGCTATCAAAGAGTTCCTCAGTATCTGAAACCTTCTTTTACTCCAGCATCCAAATGACTTCTATGTAAAATCAATCTGAGGCATTAAGTCCGTAGCCAGATCCCACCTGCTCTGCCTGGGCTAAAGAGAGGGTCAGATACAGGGATACTAGCTTTGGCATTAAACCCAAGCTCAGCGCAGGGTGTGTCCAGGTTGCCCTGGAGCCGATCCTACAGCCCATTAGCGCGAGGTTACCCCTTGTTTCCTGGAGATGCTGTCTCCCGTGACTCCTTCCCCGCGTGACAGGGTGCCCTGGTAGGAGCGACACCCCGCCCCCTCTTCTACCTCTTTCCGAGGAGGCCCAGAGACCGGCCCCCACACTGGGCCTCCAACACGACCACCCGTCTGACGTCTGCTAAGCAGTGAGTGTAGCAGGGCTCTCGGCCGCCACCTCCAGCCGCCGGGGGACAGCGAAAGGGATTCCCCGCCGGGGGCCGAATAGGAGGAGCCACGGGGGCCGGGCCCCTCCCCCAGCGGGCTTACCCTCCGCCGCCGCCTACTCGCTGCAGCCGCCCCGCTTCCTTGCGGAGCAGTCCGAAGCACTGCGTCCAGCAGCAGTTCCCCATCGCATGCCGCCCAGGCGCCGCCGCTCCTCCTCCTCCTCCCGCTCAATGCCCAATCCCAGGCCCGGCAGCCGCATCCGCGCGGCACGAGCCGAAATGGGGTTCACGGACCGAGGGCGGGCCGGCCGGAGCGCGGCGGCGTGAGGGGACGGGGCGACGAAAGAGACGAGGCGCTAGGGAACAAAGGCAGTGTTTACTCCCGCGGCCGTAGAGCCACTGCCGCGCGAGGGAGGAGCACCGGACTGAAGGCTCTAGACTCCTTCGCCGCCAGCATGGCCCTTCTTGCCTCAGCCCCCAGCCCTGCGCGAGTGACCGCCTCCAGCTGCCGAAGGAGGCCAGTCCCCGCGAGCCTACACCCTGGCCCCGCCCCCCACCACCCCCAGGCGCCCGCTCGCCGCCGACGCTGCCACACCCCCGGCCTCTACCGCGCCCCAATTGGGCGCGTTGCCTCGGGGCCCCGCCTTCTCCGGTGACTGGCCTTTGCGTCACTTCCGCTCGCTGCTGGTTCAGCCGCTTTTGCCTGCGAGACGGTTCAGTTTCTGCGTGCGGACGTTTGTTTTGTTGGACCTTGACCTGACTAGGAAATTTCCCTCTCTCATTGCAGTTTCGGGCATCCTAGTCCGGAGGACGCTGGGCTTGGCATGATTAAGGCTCAGCCTTCGCACTTTGTATCAAAGGCGTGTGAGGAGCTAGAGTCCCAGGCCGCAAGTTATAAGTGCGAAAGGGCGTTTCTCTGTATGGTGTGCTTAGTTTTTGTTAATATTGCACCATAGGTGGAGAATAGAGTCGGGAACTGAGGTTACTTTGAACGCACCAAGATTTTTTTCCGGTCTCTGGTTTGTGTCTTAATCTCCATACTGTTAGTGTTTTAGGGAAACAATAATGGTGCACTATTGGCCTCGTTTTGTTTAAAATCAGATCTTCAAATAATTTTGGGTCGGGTAGTTGGGGTTCAGAGGAAATTGGCAAGAGGGCTGGGGTTTTTCGGGGACGCCAGCGTTGCCATTCCAAGCATGCTGCCCAGAACTGCTGTAGATGGGAAGAGAAGGCTGCTCTGATGGGTCCGCAGCCCTCTCAAGTGCTACCATGTAACTCGCGTCTTGTTTGGCCTCAAGACAGTTGGCCTCAAATAGATATAAGATGTGGCTTAGTAGACACCTAGTCCAGTGGATAGGAGGATGCTCTCATGGACTGGACACATCAAGTTTTTAGCCTGTTTAATTAAACCTAGAAAAATTGTTAGATTTTAGAAAATTTTTATTGATGATAAAATGTTCTCTGAACTCATTTTCTTGCTGCTTTAAATACCTATCTGGTTTCAATCTTAGCACTGCTACTTAACTAATTTTTATTTTATTTGGGTTTTAGTTATTTTTGTAATCAGAAGCATGGGATAACATTTGTCCCAATGGTCTGCTTTCAGTGAATGTTGGGATGACTGAATGACTTCCTAAATAGTTGAATGCATTTTCTTTTTTCTCCTTCCAACTCTTGAAATTAGACAAATGTATTAATGAAATAGTCATTAGAATTCAACTATAAAGGTTTACAGAAACTGGCACATCTATCCTATGGAATATTTAGTAACAAAAAGGAACACACTAGATGAACACACCTTGAAATGAATCTGTAGGAAATTATGGTTAAAGAAAAAGCCAATCTCAAAGGCTTATATACTGTGTAATTCCATTATGTAACATTTCAGAATTGACAAATTTATATAAATGGACAACAGAATAATTGATTGCCACGGGTCAGGGATAGAAATCCTGCATCTTGTCTATATTAATGTCAGTTATCCTGGTTGTGTTATTGCAATAGTTTTGTAACATGTTACCATTGGGGGAAACTAGATTAAAGGTATACGCGGTCATCTGTATATTATTTCTTAAAACTGCATGTGACACTACAATTGTCTCAATATAAAAAGTTTGATTAAAAAATATAGCTATAGACTTGACAGAGCACTTCCTATAGGCATTCTATAAGCCTATATTAAAACTAAATCTCACTTAAAGATTTTTTTTTTGTAGTAAATCTGATCTCAGTTAAGGATATGAATGATCCTCAGAAGCAATACAAATGAATAAGACGTTTAAAAACTTCACTAAGCAAAATAATGCAAATTAAAATGCATGTTTTAGTCATTTGTATTGATTCACTTGTCAGGTTAACAAAGATTTACAGATGGAAATATTCAGTATTTGCAAGGATACAATGAAATGATACTATTCTAAACTGCTGCAGATAGTGAAACTCATTCTGAGAAATCATTTGGAAATACCAAGAGCCAGAAACAAACTAAATGCTCAAAAATTGAAGGATGATGAAATTTGCTGGTGTATTCTTGTTACATAGACACAATAAATATATTTTTAAAACGTTAATAATATGGAATACTGCTTACTGAATAATGTGTGAAAAATCAGGATAGAAAATTATATGTATGTTCCAAATGATGTTTAAAACAAAACAGGTACATTCTCACGTTCTTTCTTACACGTGTTTCTTGAAAATAAAGGCTGGATGGTAAATATCAAAATGCTAACAGTAATTATTTCAAGATTGTGATGTTGGGAGCTTTATTTCTCTTCTCTATTTTCTCAGTCTTGACAATTATTATTTAATACTTCTGTAATCAGAAAAAAAGTTTAAATTTGACCCTTCAGTAGAAAAGATTGATAACCAGTTCAATTAAAGTTTAATAACAAATGCAAACATTTAGAAATGCAGAATTTTGCCCCGCAATTCAGCTAAAACCAGGTTCTTGTCACATGACCAGGAAAACTTAGACACGTGGACACATGGAAGGGTGAGTAGAGCAGGATTTTATTGGGCAAAAGGAAAAAAAGAAAAAACTCAGCAAAGCGAGATGGGAGTCCTATTATCAGGCCCCCACCTCATGGATGAATCCCAGGCTACTACAGGGGACTGAAAAAGCACCTCACAGATTGAATCCCAGGCCACCACACAGGAAATGAAGAGGCCAGGCTCCTTCCCCTGCCCTGGTTCCACCCCATTCCCCCAGTGCGCATGCGGGCATGCTCACACAAGGCCCTGGGCAGGTTCCCTCATCTGCACAAAAGCATCTGATGTAAACACTTGTGGGGCAGGTGGGAGATTTTCTGGGGACCCCTTTTTGTCTGCCTAGGCATTTGACTGTCTCCGAAAGTCATAACTCAAATATGGGTAGTTTATAATAAATTGAGGGGAGTTACTTAATTTTTTTTCTAGAAATGTATTAAATAAATTACCAAGCTAATCTTAGGGGTTATGGGAATTTATCATTGTGCAATTTTTCACCAAATTTGACATCAAGAATCTTCATGGTAAGCTTTAAAACTTTTTAAACATTCAGTTAAGTGATGATCTGCTTTTAGTTAAACAGAATTAGCAGGGAAAAAACCTGTAACTGGAATGGATGTTTGAGAGGCAGATAAACTTTGTTTTATGGTTGAGAAAGAGTAGTGTTTGGGGAATTAAATGATTTGCTCAAGGTCATACAATGAATTAAAAGTGTAATATGAAGAAAACTCAGGCCTCCTGACAGGCTTGTGCCTTCTGCCGTGCTTCAGTACTGGTTTCTCAACTCTTAAATTTGGACATGGGTATAAAATCAGCAACGACCATAGTCACATGTATTCTGATAAGATTTGTACATTTAATTCATCATTGCTAGAGAGTTCATTTAGAGCTGGGTGTGGTGGCATGTAACTGTAGTCCCAGCTACTCAGAAGGTGGAGGTAGGAGGATGGTTTGAGCCCAGGAGTTTGTGTTCAGCCCGGGGAACATAGCAAGACCCCATTATTTCAAAAAGTTCATTTATGTGACAGTTGGCTAGGCAGAATATTTAACTTATCAGTAAGATACACAAACACTTAGATTATCTACAGTAGGACCAGGCACAGTGGCTTATGCCTGTAATCCCAGAATTTTCGGAGGCTGAGGTGGGCAGATGGCTTGAGTCCAGGAGTTTGAGACCAGCCTTGACAACATGGCAAGAGCCTGTCTCTACAAAAAATACAAAAAATAGTCAGGTGTGGTGGCATGTGCCTGTATTCTCAGCTACTCAGGAGGCTGAGGTGGGAGAATTGCTTGAGCTCAGAAAGTCAAGGCTGCAATGAGCCGAGATCTAACCACTGCACTCCAGCCTGAGTGACAAGCCAGACCTTGTCTCAAAAAAAGAAAGATTATCTACAGTGATTACTGCTTACTGTCAGCTTGCTAGAGACATTCCACCTGCCTACAGGTAGCAGAACATCTCACGTTTTTCCCCATCCTTTTCAAAATTCTCTTCTCTTGGGTACTAGGCTTAATACCTGGGTGACGAAATAATCTGCACAACAAATCCCTGTGATGTGAGTTTATCTATATAATGAACCTGCACATGTATCCTTGAACCTAAAATACAAGTTTTTTTAAAAAACCCACAACATTGTCTTCTCTCAAGTATTTTCTTCTGAAGTTGAAAGGAAAAATCTTTTCTCGTAGGTGCTCTGGAGTCCGTCAGGATGCAACATGTACCCCCAATTGTCTTCTGGATTATATGGTTCCAAATATGAATCTTTTCTCTGCTCAGAACTTCTTCTCTGCTCAGAACTTCTTCTCTATTGACTCTAGTGATTCTCTAATCACTTTTTGTCATTTTGAGATCATTTGCTACTATTATGTTTGGTGTGGAGGTTATGTGGTCCCTGCAAGGGGAAGAATTCTGTGTTCTCCATTACAACTTTGTTCCAAATATAGACACAAAGTTGTACTTTTAACTCACTGAGCATAGTTTCAATTACCAAAATTTATACAGAGTGCTAGATACGACTACTATAAAATGGAGATAATGAGATAAATTTTGCCTTTGTTGTTAGGATAAATGATTAAGCACTATCAAGTACTTAGTATAATATAGTTATATTATAATTTCTATAACGTACTAAATAGACTGTACTATAATTATCTAAAATACCATAAATATAAATATTAGGTGTTATGCACAGACTGAAGGAAATTTTCATCAATATTATACTTTCCTTTGTAGCCACATTCCTGTCATCCAATACAAAATGCTAGTCTTTTAAAATTTCTGTCTCTTAAACAGTCTTCAGGCACGCTCCACACCACTACTTGAAATCAGGCTCCAAGAAAATGTGGCATAGGTAGAGGAAAAATTCCCCAACTCTCAGGCCTTTTCTGTCCCATGATCTGCCTCTTTCCCAGATGATTATAAGTGAGAATGTCCTCTGACTTAAAGGGAGACCTCACTCCCTACCAATTACGAGTGTATTGTCCTGGGAACCCAAATGGAATAATTTTAATCTTAATACAACAAGCTAGTATCATTATTGTTCCTAAAGTCTTATTT